TCGGATCACTGGAAGTGGAAAAATGAGTCTGGACATTTGACTCTCGCAGGAAAGATGGGTGGATAGAGAGACTGATAGGTAGGTAGATTGATGCTGTAGGTGTAGATAGATGGATTCAGGAATGGATAGATGGATTAAATAAATATATAGAAGGATGGACTGACGTATAGATGGATGAATGAATTGATAGGTGGGGGGGTGGGTGGTTGGATGGATAGATGGATCATTATAGGAGGATGGACATTAGGATTGAGTGATAGGTAAATGAAGAAAGGAGTGTTGGAAGGATGATGAATGGGTAGGTAGGTCTGTAGACGGATGGATAGGATGTGGGTCGGAGGGTAGGTGGATAGACAGACATATTGGTGGATGGAAAAAAGGACAGGATAGACAGGTATCGGAAGGAAGGACGGAAGGAAGCTCAGGTCAGAATGATTGATTGATGGACAGGTGGGTATAGACAGACAGATTCTGTTGTTTTTTAATAATAAAGTGAAGAATAGAGCTGAGATCAGGAAGATCTAAACTCTGTAAAATACATTTTAGAAATGGGTCGATCATTTATAATTCAAAAACAAACTCTTTCAGTGAATTATTCTGTGCCGCATCATCACTGGATCCTGGGGTGAAACAGATGGTATCGTGCTGCTGTTGCCTTCGAGTCGTCCTTTTTAACTTTCCTGCCTCCAGATATCCAGTATGAAGTGAAGCGGCGGCTGGAGAGACACTGACTGTGAGTCTGTGGAGGGAATGATGAGCTTTATAGAAACACTGGCCAACAACGACGACACAACAGCAGAAATCCATTGTGTTGATTTGTTGCTGAGGTCTCGCTGTCAGAGATGTGGATGAATGCAAGAGGTTCAAAGTTGCAGAGATAATCCAACTTTTTCTAAACAGTTACTGCACAGTAACCTTTCAGCACATCCTCTTGGGTTTGTCATCCCCACTTTTCACTGCACACTTCGAGGAACACGACATGTAAATCGTTGTTTATTGAGTCTTTTATCTTGTATCTTACTAATTTTCTTTGGTGAACAAAAACAGCTCTGTGCTCTTTTTATTCAGCGTTCAATGAATACAAATATTGACTGATTGATTAATGGAGCTTTAGCATGATGAGTTATTTGTGTGCAGGCTGTCATGCCAGGATTTAAAGATAATGGAGGTTATTTCCAACACCTTCTTTCTCATTGTGCTCTTGAACTCTACTGTTTAAAAAAATAAATCTCCTTCATTATATCGTTGCTATTTTTATACTCGGTGCCTCGGCCGTTCATGTGAGCTTTTCCAAAAGAGGCTGAAGGCAGCTTAATAGCTGGAACATCACTGGTGCTGCACTGATGTCTGCTGCCTCCAAAATGAATGAATCATTGTGTAGCATTTGTGTGACGGCACATTATTTGCTCTCTGTCTTTTCTCTGCCTCCACATTTGCAGTCGGTGCCGTGCTGCTTTTCCATATCACTACTACGAGTGTGTAAAATGGGAAATAGAAAAATGAACGACCAGCGCTCCCTCTCTTGCCCCTGGAGCCTTATCCAGAATGAACAGATGAGGATAAAAAAAATCACACTTGGATATACCACTACGCTTTTGTTTCATTGGGCCCAGCAGGTAAACTCCCAGTTCTCCAGATGGTCCCTCCGCCTCCGACTGCATCATAGCCTGGTTACTATAAAAGTGGGACTCTGGGTTATTAAACCACCAAACTGAGCTTTAACATCTTTGAAAGGAAGCAGCTCTATTCAAACACAGGTGACCCTCCTTCACATGTCCTCGATTAATGCGTCTACGGTGATTAAGCTCCACTGGAGCACTGCTGGTAAAAGCATCTACAAGTTCTGTGTTGACGATGACATGTCCCATAATCGACTGTGATTAATTGTTGCCATGGAATTGCTAATGTGCCCCAAAGGCCGAGTTCTGAGTCGGTCATATTACTGAGTGATGATTAAATGTCCTCGGCTCGGCCCCCGGGGAAACATAGGCCATGACAGTGTGTCAGAGGACAGCGGAGGAATCTTCCATCTCCTCCATTAGTGAACACACACACACACACACACACACACACACAC